TCTTCTCTTCTCTTCTCTTCTCTTCTCTTCTCTTCTCTTCTCTTCTCTTCTCTTCTCTTCTCTTCTCTTCTCTTCTCTTCTCTCACAGCTTGTAGTCATTTTTCTGCTTTAGTATCTGGCATCCTGCCATGTGGAGGGCCCTAGTGTTTCCTCTTTGGGGCTAGAAAAGGAAGTCTTTGGGGTAATACCCCTTCACTGGCTTTGCTCAAGCATCCTACTTCTGACTCAATTTCTTTATTTCTTATTCAGGTCCTCCACTGCTACTCAAAACCATAGTCGCTTCTTGTGGCTGCTGCATGGTCCCAGTCTGCTACTGCACTGTTTGCTTGTTTGTGTGTTTTGTTCTGTTTTGTTGCTACTGGGATCTCTTAATTGATTTCTGACATTCCACTAATACTTGTTTTTTTATTTTCATTATAGTATATCATACTATAGAATTTAACTGTAGTAGGATGAAGGATTCTGTATCCTTTGTAACCTAGCTCATAGCCAACAAATACTCCATCACTTCTCCAATCTGGTAGGTCTCCTTTTCCTTTGGGAATATAAACATACATCTTGAATAAAAGCATCTAATGTGCTTAATATTTGGTTTAATTCTGCACCAATTATAATAATAATGATATGACAAAATATTTTCTTTATGCCATGCAAATGAATAATTGGATGACTTCAGAAGGGGGAAGACACATGTACAGCAAGCTAACTTTGATAACAAGAGTCATGAACAGCATAATTAATAAAACTGCAGGATTCATTGCTCTGAACATGAGTTTTGAACATTAAAAGGTATACCCCCAATATTAGCTAAAGTTGTGACATTTAGCAGACCTTACTTGAACAAACATTGAATTATCTTTTTTGTGTCCTTATACATAAATCAAGTCTATACAAAGTTCACCTTAAAGCATAGAAGCAATATATTTTATCTAAAATGAAGGGGAAGAGAGCCAGTTTGGTGTAGTGGTTAAGGTACCAGTCTAGAAACCAGGTGACTGTGAGTCCTAGTCCCGCCTTAGGCACAAAGCCAGCTGAGTGAGCTTGGGCCAGTCACTCTCTCTCAGCTCTAGGAAGCAGGCAATGGCAAACTGCTTCTGAAATCTTGCCAAGAAAACTGTAAGGACTAATCCAGGCAGTCACCAGGAGTTAACACTTATTTGAAGGCATCAAAAAAAAAAAAAAATTAAGGGGAAGGTATGCTGTTATATGGCTAAAATAGGAAGACTTTATGGGGAATGAGCTACATATATGGCGCAAAATCTCAGCCACTATAAATATAGACTTCATCTACATTTCATACCCTGTATTTAGAACATGAAGACTCTACACATCCCATGGTTGTGACTAACAATTCAAGATATCCAAATTTTGGGCAAAAGGACACATTTATAATTTTAAGAACATATCTTAGGAGCATTTACAAAGTGGCTGTCTTTAAATAAATAGCTATAGAAATAAAGATAGTGCCAGAGACTGACATTTTGATTTGTGGAAGACAATAAAAATTTGTTTAAAAACATCTTAAAATCTGATGAGGTAGGTCACCTGCTAGAGTCCAAGGGAGGTATCTGCAGGCACCCTGGTACTCGTGGGCACCATATTCAGGACTCCAATATTAAACCATTGGAAATCATAAACACTTGCCTGTCAGCTGCAAAGTATAAAGAGCTCTACCAACAAATCTTTTTCTGATTTTTGCCCTCTAAAACAATTTAGCAGATTAGCCCTCAAATTATACCTAGATGTCTTTGGAGACTTTCAATATCTGCAGTACATCCATATGGGTTGCTGAGATGGCTTTAAAAGAGGCTGGGAAAGAGGCTGAGGGGGAGACAATTTGATTTCATCTTCTGTTGTGGATAGAAGATCTGAGTACTCCTTGAGATGAAAACAAAACCTAATGGGCTATTATGCAACTGAAGGCATTTGTTGTCCATTTATATTTACCAAGCACTACTTTCATAGAAGATCAGGAATCAGTTACTCCTAAGATCGTCAAAGCAATTTCATTTTCTAACAGAACCTATTCATCTGTTTTCACAGTAGCATGATTTTATAGAAGTCAGTGAAGCTCACACTGAATAGTAAGACATTTATTATGACTTTCTACGGCAAAGTATTTTATTGAAGTATGGACTACAATACTTCAGCCCTCTGAGCATACGTACTTCTTTTATAAAGAATACTAGGAATAAATGCCTAAACAAAGTGTTGCCAAAAAGCAAAAAATTAAATAAAAATCAATTGAAAGCAAATGAAAGATATTTAGGAGTTTAAGGAGAACCCTGAAATCTGAATGCAGCACTCCTGTCAGTCAAAAGCTGTTTTGAAAGCTGAGACTGTATTCTTGATTTTGAGCTGACTGTACATTTACACAACAGTTTTGTTGTTGTTTTTAAAGATCTTATGTACTGGTGCCATAGAGTAAAACACTGCTGAACATAGCTAACATTTGGATTTCTAAAACACACCTCAAAATACCAGGAATTCAGCAGAGAATAGTTAGTCTTGTTTGCTTTAAATTACAAAGAATAAAGAAATTGCAGTTTCTAGAGTTTATCACCCATTTCAGTAAATAAACATGGTGTATACTTACTATTTGATCCAGTCATTAACAATATACAGAAAAAGCAGTTAGGTGACATCTCTATCTTTCAGCAGAGAAATTAATTCCTCTTGTCATACCACTAGATTTCACACACGCTGGTAGCTGGTTCTAATTCTGATTAAGCGGCAAATGCAGAAAGCTTCCTTTCCATACTTTGCTTCGTCTCTCATTCTGTGCCTCTATCTTTCAAACTGGCAGCAGACTCAGATCAATTCAGGAAAAGGGAAAGGAGGTGGGGATGGGAGTGGGAAGTATCAAAGGACAGTCTCTTCTTTCTGTGCTTATGATAGATAAAAAGTTGGAATGAAAATGCTGAGAAATGGATACAGTACTTTAATCAAAGCTATCACTGTCAAAATTATTAATCTTTTGTTCAATACAGTTGAGTGTTATTGTTTTAAAATGGGAAATTGTCATCTCTTTTAGGTGGGTGTATCCTAAACAGAACAATGCTTTAACCTGCATCAGTGATTCTTTTTTCCCCCTTTGTATCAAGAATGTAGCTTATAACTTAACCAACTTTGCAATATGAAAACTGTTCATGGGCAAAGCAATCTTATGGGGGAACATGTGGAAGAAACCAAGGTATAAGACCTGCATTCTTCCAGCTTGTATAGCAGAGCAGAGAGTAGAGTCAGCTTTTTCACTTTGACCTGTTACAGCTACTACTTAAGAAAATGTCCCGTTCCAGACATGGCCACTTCTAGAGATTGCATAATTTTTCATGCATTTAAGGGATGTATTTCTGGGAACTGTAGGACTTTGATTCCTGTGAACCTGCCATCTTTCCCAACATGCTCCCCTCCTTAATCTTCTTCTCTTGTCTTGTCTAATATTAGAGTTTTTATATTATACAAGCCCAGCTGGAAAGCCTTATCCTAGCAGCAAGTAGAAAGCTTAGAAGTTCCAGTGTATTCTCTCTCCAAGAATGGCCCAACTTCTCCACCCTCACTAGGCAGATAAAAAAAATGCCAGCATCCAGGAACAAAAGGATTGCATCTTTTATGCATAGAAATTCAGCAAACCTGAACTCATTTCACATAGCATAGCAAGGATTCTGTATATTCATGTGTGGATAACTACATTAAGTAGCTGGGAAAAGGAGTGCTTCAATGACAGAAAATATTAAATAGAAAGATAGAACATATCCAGAAATATTACAAACCTGTCAGGATTTCCTAAAGCATGAATGCAACTTTAAACCTTTATTACTCTACAGTACTATTGATTACTTAGCTGTCTGCATTTCTAAGAGTCTCGAAGTATCAGTAATCACAATTATTGGCTTAATATCCAAAGTTTATCCTCATTAGTATTTTTGCCTGAAGCCAATATAGTGCAAAATCAGAAGTTGGAATTCCTTTTTCTTTTATGAATATAATGGGATCAGGATGAGAATTACATCCCTGTGTTGAGCTGACTGATCCAACATTTAGAGATCAAGCTGCCTTGCCTCCAGTTTCAGAACCTAGGAGATCTGACCCTGATTTCATATTCTATATGGATCCACACTTCGATGCATACATGACTTTCTTTCAAAAAACAACTGTCTGGGACCAATGCTAAGGACAATCAGTGTACTCCCCAGTGATGGCAAAATAAACTCAGCAGTTTTTCCTGAAGACACCTGCTAAGTCCATCTTAATTTACCCACAAGCACAGGTTGTCAGATCATGGGCTTCGTATTGAAGGACAAACAGGGCCGTCTTCCTGTTACATGTGGCCCACATTTCTTGCAGCAACAGAATGTCAAATTGGACCTAAACTGAAAAAGGACTGGTCTTTTGCCTTAGATGTCCAGCAATATTCTGGGTAATTAGGGAGAGGGAGGCTAAGGGGGAAATCAGCCTGGGGAGGAGGTAGGAAGTCTTCTGTGGGTGTTTGGTTGGTAGCCTGTAATGCCTCTTTTTCCAGCTAGCCTACTGGTAGAATCTTGTTTGGAAAGTGATCATCTGGTCATCCTAAGGATGTTCTGTTGAACGAGCAGAAGCAAAATTTGCCCTGGACATAGAGAAAGTGAATATTGTGACATCTATTAAATGGAATGAAAAAACTGCCGGATCTTTAGCCTCATGTTTAGTTCTGCATCCTCATTAGAAATCCGATACAAATAATTGAGACTTGACAAGCTCCTGTAGTTTTATATGAACAACTAATCAGTGAATGGAAGCAATCTGTTAAGTTTGCCAAGCCTCACTGTTATTCTAAAGCACCTAACTCTAATCAACATCAGTCCATGTTTGACCAAGCATATTGGCACAATTCAGGTGAGTATATAACGTCTATCAGCAATATGCTGCCAAAAATGGTTGCCAGATGATCCACAATATTAAGGAACTTTACAAAACTCTCCCTAGAGAGGAGAACAACAACACCCCTAAAGATATGTAGACAGTGCTGATTGATGCAGTTAAAAACCTCTCCCCTTCATGACATATCACAGCTACAGGCCTAAAGAAGCCTATATAGAATCCTATCAATCAAGTCTCAGTTCATGCTTGGGGGAAAATTTTTAAAATGTTATATACAAAAGGGATCCAAGTATCTGCTCTGGACATCACTGTAGTAGACTCCTGGCTGCTGGTTTCCCCTTCAGAAGTGTTAAACTTACAGGATCTGTTAGAGCAGTGTTCCTCAACCTTGGCCGCTTTAAGCTGTGTGGACTTCAACTCCCATGCTGGCTGGGGAATTCTGGGAGTTGAAGTCCACACAGCTTAAAGCGGCCAAGGTTGAGGAACACTGTCTTAGAGTAAGAAAAACCCCAGTCTGTAGTTGCATCTCACCATGGCTCCTGGTGACTCATTGCTTCTTTATTTATGTACCTCAATCAAACAGGGAATAGCCTCAGGTACTGGAAGAAGGTGATGGTTATGCCTATTCACAAGAAAGGCACTAAAGGGTATCCATCTCATTACAGACCTAATAGTCTTTGAGTATTATAGGCAAATGTTATGCTAGAAACCTGAAAGAAATTACAGGACTGGCTGCACTCTGAAGGAATCATCAGACTGGAACAGGCAAGATAATTAATAGGGCACTCAATGGTGGAACACATTTTAATGTTGCACCACCTGATAGAGAACTGTATCTATAAAACTAAACCTTCCTTTATATGTGTCTTTCCCTGATTTTAAATCAGTGTTTCATTTGATATCTTGAATTTTATTAAGGGGAAAAACTACAAAACTCTAATATTGATAGATGATTGATACATTTAATTTGAAAGCTGTATATAAATATATGGCTCCAAGTGTGATGCAGTCCCTAAGGAGCATTCATAAAGAGTGTACCAACTATGAATGGGGTTGCGTTTTTGCTCTGGCCTTGTTCAATTTCTGTATAAAGCCATGGAGATGACCTTGGGGAAGTTAGGCAGAACAAAAGGCTTAACATATCTCAAGTTTGGGCAACAGTGAAAGCATGAGAAAGCAGCTCAGATTGACTCCTCTGAGTATAAGAGGGAGAACTCAGAGGCTTTCAAGGTTCTGTTACTATAGCTTTTATCAATAAAGTAGAGTTCTAGTCAGATTTGTGGAGTCTCTTTCCTGACCTGGCCTACCTTGATGGGGTGAGAATTTCTATGCTAGTGATATGGAAGGAACCTTAGATTACTTGGAAGTCCATGCCCCTAAAATTGCCGGAGGCAGGATCCTTCTACTCCTTTATGCCGACAATGCAATGACTCAAGAGAGCATTGAAAGCTATTATGTGCTTCTGTAAGTTCCATAAGTGAATTATAAACGATCAGAAGTGCAAAATAAAGGTGTATTTGCCTAGAAGCCAAAACAGCACAGATGGATTGTGGGTGGAAATACAGAACAAGTCTATTCCTTTAAGTACATTGGAACAACCTTCTTTGTCACAGGATCCCAGAAAGCTCCTTACAAATACATCAAAGAAACAATATCTAATACTTGACGGTTATCAGAAGATTTTTTTTTTTACCCAGAGGAGGGACATTTATATCTGTAGCCCTTAAACGTTTTGAGGCCAAAACCCAGGCCTAGATTTAATATGCGGCACAGATTAGATTTTAATTAAAAACAAAACAAAACTGAGAAGTTATACAAACTAAATTACTCATGTCTATCATTGGGCCTGGTACTATGGCCCTAGTAGATGACTATTCTCTACTATGGGCTACATCAGTGGAAAATAAAATAAATTCCACAAGTAATCAATATTACCTTCTTTTTGCTGGCTATGATCAGGTCCAGTATTATCTATCAAAGTCTGGAGGGCATAGAACTTCAAACTGAAACTGTCTCCTTAACCTAGAGCACTGGAATACTTATTATTAGGAATACATGGAAGCTTGCAAAATATGTGAGCACATTAACTTCCCCTAGTTTAAGGAATTTTTTTTCTCTACCCAGGCATAATGTCTTATTCTCAGCCCTTTTAAGTGGTAGATATAATAAGATCCCTCTTTCTGAAGGCATATGTCTGAAGAGGTTGAACCTGTCCAGCATGTATTTGTCTACTTGCAATGTTTATCGAGATACCAGTAAATTTTATTTAGCACCTATCTTCTAGTGATCCTCAAGAACAGATGACTCACTTAACTTCTGTTACCAGATACCAATCGAAATATAAAGGAGGGTAGCCAAGTATTATCTGATCGCAGTGAAAATGTGATGACTGTTGACTTCAATGGACTAATATTATCCTTATATTTTAGTTTATATTTTATTATTGTGTACTTTTCTGGTGAATGTGGCACATTTGTCTTATTTTCCTGTTTTGTTCTTTCAGATGATTGTCTGATCTTTGATTATATATAAATAAATCAGTAAACTTTAGCACACTTCGGAATACTGCTAACTTCACATTTCCGTTAGGCAGGTCTGAGAATAAATGAGAATTGCAAAAACTGATTATGAAAAGCACAGCAATAAAAATATGTGTGCTCATATGGATGGAGTGGCCACACAGATCCGTGTCCTAAAAGTCTCTGTATTTGTGGGCTTATGCAAATTTCTTCTACTATGGTATAAGAAATAAGAGCGTGAATTCACTGTTATATTTTACTTCTCTCCCTTTTATCCCTTGGTTTACAACATAAAATATAAGAGAACAGAATGTACAAAATACACATGCAAATTGCTTTATTTTCTCACTCCCTTATATGCCCTTACAATGTCTTCTCACAATAACAGTAGCTTCATATCTTCAGTTAATCATAGTTATGTCCAAGTAAGGTAACCAGGCTGAAAGATTATGAACAGGGAAGGATTTAAAATTAATTTTAAACCATTATTAAAAATCTTGGATTGAACTGAATATTATTCCACCTTAGTCAGTTACACTGGGAAATTATAGTTGAACACTTGTAGATGAATCAAGGTGCATGAAAAAAGGGAGAAAAGCAACAATATTTCTTAAGGAGATGTACATATTTTCATAATATCTGTCTCCCTGCATGTCTAGATTTTATAAAGGGGTTTGAAGGATCCTTTGGAGTAGAATTGGGATGGATCTGTGGAAGAATGAGAAAAAAGCAGAAGTATATTCAGTCTGGAAAACTGGTCTTATTTACATAGTTTTTTAGCCACTGCAACCAAAAACAAACATTAGAAGTTAAACCATACTTTTACGCCCTATCCTATTTTACAGAACAGGTCAGAATAACTTTTTTGTTTCTTTTTATTTTTTTGGCCATAGTTGCAGTTTGGCATAAAAGTTCTTGCATAAACATGCAACATTTAAGTATTGTGCAAACATATGTTACACTTAACTCTGGGTGCATCACAGAGATCTGTGATGAAAATTAGTGCAGAATATTAGCGCAAAATTCCTGGCTCATTCTCTTGCAAGACACAGCCTTGTAGCAATTTGCATTTAAATAATGTGGTGCCCTTTATCTTTGACCTGAACAATTTATTTACTGGCTTCATGGCATAGTTTGCAGTGAGGATAAAAGATTATTTGGAAAATCAGTTCAGGTAACTGCTTGTTGTAAAAGATAGTTAATTTGGCTGCATTTCTTCTAGATGTATTTAAGGAAACAAATTTGGTCCCAAAACTGATAAAATTAGGTAAAAAGGAACAAAATAATCATTAGAATGTGCAGATCAGATGCAAAATATAATGGGTGGGACAAGAAATTCTATGTTAAATAGGTAGGATACATGCAATAATAACATCAAATTTACTTTGTTCTACTGTGGTAGGTTCCTTTATATCTTGTGGGAATATTGGGCTCTAGTTCTACTGCCTTTTGTATGGATGTTGACATCTGGAAGCCATACATTCATTTGAATAATAGTGCTTCAACAAAATTTTCTAACAATACCCATACTCAACCCAAAATGAAAATGTAACTCCATTTTAAGTATTATGTAACCCCATTTTAAATATTTATATTATCCAAGACCAGATTCTTTGACTGCTACTACCTGGCAAGTATATATAACCCATTGGGAAAAAAAATGATCAATAATATGAAAAAAAGACATCACTATTTTATAGATGGATATTTCTTAGCTTCTCCACTTC